AAATTTAAAACCATTAAAGAAAGAGATTGAGGAAGACATCAGGAGATGGAAGGACCTCCCATGCTCATGGATTGGAAGAATTAACACTGTGAAAATGACCATCCTACCAAAAGATGTAGGTGTAGGAAATGACTTTCTATATTGGACATTAATTGCTCAGGAATTAAGGTCAGCAATCAATAAGTGGGACCTTATTAAACTAAATTAAGTTAAACTAAAAAGCTTCTGTACAGCAAAAGAAACATCAAAAAAGTGAAGAGAAAACCCACAGAATGGGATAATGTCTTCACCAGTGACACATCTGACAGAGGTTTAACATCCAGAATATATAAAGAACTCAAAAAACAAAGAATCGAGAAACCAAATGACCCAATGAAAAGATGAGCTAAAGATCTAAACAGAGTTCTCAAAGGAAGAAATAAAGATGGCTAAGTAACATCCCAAAAAGTGTTCAACATCATTAGTAATTAGGGAAATGCAAATTAAAACCACCCTAAGGTATCACCTTACCCCAGTCAGACTGGCTAGGATCAAGAGAACAAATGGTACCAAATGCTGACGAGAATGTGGAGAAAGGGGAATGCTCATTCACTGCTGGGGGGATTGTAAACTTGTGCAGCCCCTATGGAAAACAGTGTGGAGAACTCTTAAAAAACTAAAAATGAACCTATCACATGACCCAGTTATACCACTCTGGCATATACCCAAAGGACTCATCCTATTGTAGTGACACTTGTACAACCATGTTTGTTGCTGCACTTTTCACAATAGCTAAGAGATGGAAGCAACCTAAGTGTCCCTCAACTGACGAGTGGTTAACAGAAATGTGGCATATTTACACAATGGAGTTCTGTTCAGCAGTAAAGAAAGATGAAATAATGAAATTTTCAGGTAAAGTAAATGGATGGATCTAGAAACTGTTACACTAAGTGAAGTAACACAGACTCAGAAAAACAAACTACATATGTTCTCCCTCATATGTGGCTCCTAGCACCAAATTCTTTTAAATTCCAGGTCCTTTTAATAAGATGATGCTAAACAGCAGTCCCTTCTGCATGAAATAACTACTATCATCACGACTTTGGCTGAGCCTGATCGCTAAACATAGTCACAATTGGGCTTGTTGACAGTTGTGCTCATTCATTAAAGAGTGCCGAGCAGGGTCACTAGACCCTCACCTGAGTATCCAGCCACTCTTCCGAGCCAAATAGTCCAGCCTTGGAAGACAAAAGAAAAATGAGGAAGAACCCGATAGAGGGATGCTTTTGGAAGCCCTTGTCAAGAAATTCCAATGGACTTTCATATGAACATTTGAAAATTGCCCTGTTCTGACTTTGATCTAGTTCCCTGTCTAGAATTTGTAATGCTAATTACTCTTGCCTTTACTTCTCCCTCACATCTCCTATTCATGATTCAAGGACTTTCTTCTCCCCTTAGAGACAAGAGTTACGCAATTTGGGAGTCTTTAAATTGACCCACTGAAGGGATACTCCAATTGCCTCACCCTGCATCCCTGTTCAGAAGAAGTCAGAGAGGTCTGCATCCCTATTCCCTATCGGCAATTTGGATAACCCCTTCAGAGGATGGTGTGATAAGAATAGGAGGTAGGAATTGGCTAGGCAATTAGGGTAAAAAGACTCCAAGAGCCGGATATGGTGGCACACACCTTTAATCCCAGCACTTGGGAGGCAGAGGCAGGCAGATTGTGAGTTCAAGGCCAGCCTGGTCTACATAGTGAGTTCCAAGACAGCTGGGGCTACAGGGAGACGCTGTATCAAAAAGACCGAAAAAAAAAAAAAAAAGACCCCAAGACCCCAAAGAAATGTAGCCAATTTCTTGGCTAAAAGTCAAAATTTCCTTGAGCCTGTTAGCAACATACTCTGTTCCAAGGCCAAAAATGTCAAAAGTATTTGGTAACTTATATTAAATCCTTAAAAGATTTAAGGGTTACCTCTTCAGAAGGGGGAATGTTGGAAGGAAGGGAGTGGGCATGGATTAGATCAAAACACCTTATATGCATGTATGAAATTCTCAATATAGTTTTTGTAAAAATTAAAAAAAATTCTCTTCCATCAATTTGTGTGCCAAGCTGTCCTTTGCTAGTTTCATACTGTCTTGATTACTATAACTTTGTAGTAAAATCAGGTGGTATTTGTCCTTCAGCTTTGCTTTTATGATTAGTGGGGTTTTTTTCAAAATTGTTTTGGTCTTGGTAGCTACTTTGCTTTCCATATAAAACTTAAAATTGAATAGACTTTTCTGAACTGCATATAGCAACATTTTTTAATTAATATACTTGCATCCAAAAGTTGAACTTTGAGAAGGGATATTCCAAAGTTTTGATCTCTTTGATTATTATAACTGAAGGAAGAGGCACAAAGAGAATCAAGTGCCATTTCAATGTCTGTGAATCTGAATTGATTGATGAGTTGGAAGTGACAGTAGTTGATCATCAAGGAAAAGCTCCAGGGCTTAGGGATTAGACAACCCCATCTTTGGATAACAGGTTGATTATTTATCACACTGTAATATAAGCTAAAAAGTTTACATTTTATTATCTCTAGTTCCCTCATTAGTAAAGACAATAATGAAATCAACTTTATAGAGTTTCTTATGAATATTAAATAATATAACCTCTAAAATGCCTTCAGCTATAACTGGCAGAAAGTAAGCATTCAGTAGTTGTTATAATCAGCATTGTTACTTTATATATGATTTGATTTATACTACAGTAACATTCCCACGAACAATAACAATAGTCCTTTTGAGAATATACCTGTCAAGAAGCAAACAATTTGCTGGGGCATAACCTAATCACCAGTTTGAAGCGATTTCTTGGTACCATCTCATAATAGCCACTGGCTCAGGTAGATCACATGGTTCTGAGCTCTTGTGGAGTAAGGATGGATAAAACCACATGAACTAAACAGTTCTCTAAAGCAGGAGCATGCATTACATAAAATCAAAATAAAAACTCTTTAATAAGTATCATCATCTCATTGTTAGACCCCAAATAATTTGTTTATTAAAAGCTGTCATATAAAAACTGTTTAAAGTAGTTGAGCTCTATAGAGGAATAATTCTCCTCTGTGCCATAAGAAACAGAGTAGAGAGTCTGTGGCAAAAACAAACCATTTTTAAGCACTTTAGTCTGTCTCTATTTCTGACCCTTTATTCTTATACTTCCTTGGGGTGATTAAGCATGATACTGTTTGTCTTCTGTCTCCCATGCTTTAGTGCCTGCCCAAGTGACTGACCTGCATGTGGACAACCAAGGGATGGCCAGTAGTCTGTTCACTAACTGGACAGAGGCACAGGGAGATGTAGAATTCTACCAGGTTTTACTGATCCATGAAAATGTGGTCATCAAAAATGAAAGTGTCCCCAGTGAGACAGGCAGATACAGCTTCCACTCCCTGAAATCCGGCAGCCTCTACTCTGTGGTGGTGACAACAGTGAGCGGAGGGATTTCTTCACGACAAGCGGTCACAGAAGGAAGAACAGGTAAGCGGCAGAGATAAGTGTTTGCAACTTACAGAAACCCGAGCACATGGAGTCCCCTCCAACAGAATTTTTTCAAATTTCCTAAAATAAGACTCCTCTCTTTCCTTTCTAAAAACCAGGTTTCCAAACATGGAATGGATCTGGCTGATGCATGTGGAAAACAGTGAATACTGTCAGAACCTCTAGAAAAACATTTTGAGTTATGATAAGCACTCTTTTCCTCCTCGTTGATTGTTCTCCTTTGGCGAGTTCATGTTCAAATTAAGGCAAACAAGTAATTAGCTATCTTTCAGTCTCACAGTCTTGTCTTCAAGATATAGGAAGGAAATGATCTCTACTTTACACAGTCAAAATTGAATTGATGTAATTCACAAGTGACATAGAGAGAGTCTTACCATATTCCCCAGGCTGACTATGAACTCTGGCTCACAACAGCCTCCTGTCTAAGCCTCCTCAGTGTCTGGGACTGGTGGTGTGTGGCACCGCACTCCTGTAAAAGCCACATATGTATACTGTATAAACAACATCAAACAAATGTTTAGTACAATATGACAAAATACCCTGACAAAAAACATCTTGAGAGACAAAGAGTTTATTTTAGCTCACAGTTCCAGATTAAGTCCATCTCTGTGGAGAGCTGACAGTGGCAGGACCGTGAGATAGCTGGTCACATCACATCTACAATCAAGAGCAGAGAGAGAGTGGATGCATAGATGCCTAGTACTCAACTAGCTTTCTCTATTCTTAGACAGTCCAGGACCCCAAACCACAAACTGGTGCTGCCCATTTTCATGCTTGGTCTTCTCACATCAATTAAGGGAATCAAGGCACTCCCCCAAAGGCAGGCCCATAGGCCAACCTAATCAAGACAAACTCTCATTGAGACTCTTCCCAAATGATTCTAGATTGTACCAAGTTGACAATTGAAAGTAACCATTACACCCACCTAAATTTATACAATTATTGTAGGTTGAAGTCCAGGCTTCTCCTTCCTGTCCCCAACACTCAGAAACTAAGTATCAGTGATGGCATCATGCATACATCTCTTTAAAAAATCATGACTCTGCTTAACTCAGAAAACATTGTTTTCATTAACTTTTTAGAGGAGCGATTAAGACACTAAAAAGATGTCTTATGGTCTTGATAGAAATTCACTGACGTATGCCCGTGCTCACATTCTGTGGCAGCAGACACTTGTGTCTTTCCTGACACATTCTTTCCACTCTTTTTTTTCTTTCTTTCTTTTTTTGGTCTTTTTGAGACAGGGTCTCCCTGTAGCTCTACTGTCCTGGATTCACTATGGAGACAGGCTGGCCTCGAACTCACAGAGAGCTACCTGCCTCTGCCTCCAGAGTTCTGGGATTAAAGGTGTGGCCACAACATCCTCTCTTTTAACAGTTATTGTACCATCCTTTGGTATAGTATAATTGGAGGTGAGAGCTAAAAAGCTTACTTTGGAAATCAGGAAAGTTAAAAAAGAGTTGAGAAGGGTCTTGCATCCATTTCCCAGTGAATTGCAGCTGTGTTGGTTAGGTTAGACTGACTTGTTTCCTGTTACACAACTATGCAATGTGGATGCTTCTGATTGGATCTATTGTGTGATCCAGGATCCTACCACTTTTACTTTCCTCCCTTTAGGTCCTCACAGCTCTCTCCATTTCTCCAGAGAACAGAGGTAGAGCTCTGGAATGGCACAGATTACCAGACCTAGAAGCAAACTCAGTACTTCTACCCACATTTCACTGGACAGAACTGTTATTTAGCTACAGCTAGTTACCTCTGATTGCAGGGAAGGCTGGTCTATCTGAGTCTTAAGAGGAATGGGAAGAGATGAGTCATACTTTTTCCCCATAGATTATTCTCATTTTAAAACACCACGAGGGCTGGGGGTGTGCCTCAGGATTAGAGCACTTGCCTAACATACACAAAACCTTGTGTTCAATCCCCAGAACCACCAAAAAAATCCAATAAACATAGGAGAAAGACTATCCAACTTATTGTGATGTAGTAAAATAGTAATCTCTTATGTCATTTGAAATCAGTGGGCATTTGAAATAAACGGAACTTATAATTATTTTTATGGCTGTATTTTAGGCATAATCAGATGTATCAGTATTTGGCCCACATTATACAGAAGAAATCAAAAGGGAGATGAGAACTTTTTTGAAGAATGATCACAAAGTCTTGAGAAGATAAAAATATGAATAAATATAAGCATCTGTTTATTTATTCAAACATTATCATGAAAAAGGAGAAAATGGGATACCACTACCTATGCATAATAACTAGAGATTTCAGAAGTTCTCTAGATTAATAAAGTTTTTACAGA